GGGGGGGTCCCCATGTGCCTTGTACTGTGCTAGTTAAGAGGCTCCTCAGCCTCCTCCTAGCCCCAGCGGTGTCACTTCTCCTAGATGATGCGGCAGCAGCGGTGGCCGGAGAGGATCAGAGAGAGGGGAGCGGGCCGGAGTGAGGGGAGCGGGCCGGAGTGAGGGGAGGCGAGTGCTTGATCACCAAAGAGCCGCACTGAGCGCCACCAGAGAGACCCATTAGCCACTAGAGAGTCCCACTAGCCACCTGAGAGTCCCACTAGCCACCAGAGAGTCCCACTAGCCACCTGAGAGTCCCACTAGCCACCAGAGAGACCCACTAGCCACCAGAGAGTCCCCCTAGCCACCAGAGAGACCCACTAGCCACCAGAGAGTCCCACTAGCCACCAGAGAGTCCCACTAGCCACCAGAGAGTCCCACTAGCCACCTGAGAGTCCCACTAGCCACCTGCACAGATACTAGTTTTGGTTCATCCCTAACTTTTACCGCTGGGGGTCACCACAACTTGGTAAAAGTTACCACGGGGCCCCGGCCCTAGAGAGGTTGAGAACCGCTGCTCTAAAGGGACTTTCACTCTACGAATGAAATCTCAGCTCTACGCAGTCACAGCGTCAGGTCTTGCTATGTGTAAACCATATAAATGAACCATTGTCATCAGCCCCCCCCGCCCCCCCCCCCCTCAGTCTATATGGTATGTCCTGACCCCTGGAACTCTCATTGTTGCTGGCCGGCTTGGTCTGCTACAGGAAGTGGAGAAATAACAGATCTACCGGCAATGCAATGACATCACAGGTGTCACTGACAGGCTGCATCATATGTACGGGTACGGGTGCATGGCAGACCCTTCTGGGCGTCCACCCACAGGTTGGGGTTCATATCATTGGGGCATAGACCGGCATGCGAGTACCTCGCATGGGGCAAAGCGTCTCCTCCCCGTCGCAGCAGGCCGAGCAGAAGCAATACGAAAGTCTCCGCCGTCAGCATGGCGATCCGGCAAATTATACGGCAAAAATCCTAAA